TTCTACTCTTTCTGACGAGGCAAGCTTGGTCAATGTGTGCTATAGTAGTAGACCTAGTAAGAGAAAATGTTGCAGATACAGCAAACCAGATACTATAGGTATATAGCAAACAAGTCTATACGAAATATTTTCTCTCACAGTTAAAATATCCTGTATCCTTTGGAAAATCAAGGCAATCTTCTTACACTATATTGAAAAACCTTCAAAATAGGTTCACACGTTGCTGAGATATCCGCTGAAGATGAGACGGTTGAAATTTACTGGTCTTGTTAAGTAAACAGTACAAGCTACAAATGTCGATAAACAGGTTAAGTTGAAGAGAGAGAGAGAGAGAAAAAATAATATTTTCGTAGATATTCTTCAATTTTTGACGCTTTAGGTCACACAATAACTCACTGTGTAACCATATTCTTTTATTTTTTCAAGTGCTGTTATCGCCAAAACCATTTCCTTCCCGGAAAACCGCCAAATAGATTGAAAAACCAATTTTTTACCGATTTATTCCAATTTCTTACATCTTATGAGTAAGAAACTAAAATCTGGCTGTGATTCTGTGCATTCTTTTAAAAAATCATTATATTACGCCCGGAAAATCATCAAAAATTGAAAAACTGAATTTTCTTTCGATTTTGGACGTTTGTATATCATGGCCTGGGAAATTTCGAAAAATTGCAGATACTGGATTTTTACAGATTCTCTAAGGTTTGTGAAATCCTAGGTCATGAATGGAACATTTGGATAACTTGAGTATTCTTTGCGTTCTTTCAAGTTTCATGACAATTCTTTGCTAAAAACATTCCGACAAATCGCGTTCTTTTAAATTTATATTTTATGTTGGAAGAGGAACACTTGACTGACTTCATTAGAGTTCCATTGCTCAAATGGGCTTGCGTTTGCCAGAAAAATTGTCAAATGTTATTTAATCGGGATTTTGAATACCTTTCTTCACTTTCTGACATGCAGCACATATTATTAGCACACAAATCCTCACTCAAGTCAACTCATCGTTGGTTGTCAGAGCGGTCCGTGGGACCTTAGCTCTTGAGTCACAGGGGCAATTTGTAAGTGTCAGGTAATCTGGAAACCAGGCAATTTTAAGGAAAAAAGGGGATGAAAGGAGAGAAGGAAGAACGAGAGCAAAGGGGAAGAAAATAATCTTTTAGGATATGCAGCGTTTAGGCATTGTCAAAATCACTTCACAGATTTTGATATGGACTAAGAATATTTGTTTTTTTCTAGAGATTTTGTCAAAATGCCCCAATTTTGGCTGTTCTAAGTTCACGAATTAATTTTGATTACAGTGCGAGCCGCTGCCTTTTGTGCTTGCGAACTTGCTCGACTGTGTAGTACAAATCATCACTATGCACCTATGCATTGCTGTTACCTCCAGTAAGGCCATCTCTGAAGTAGTTAGATTATATACCACATCAGAGCCAAACATTGATAACTGAAGCCGCATGACGTTTAGGCAATACGTACAGCTACAAAACGAGTTCACAACGTGTCCATCAGCTAGTGCTAAGTTAACATCTTGTGGAAAAACCTAAATAATGTCACAAAAAACCAATATAATGTCAAAAAAAATCGACATAGTGTCTACTCGTACGTAATCCCCGTGATGGTAGCTCTAATTTAGATTGGATTTTTTATTGAGAGAAGAATTTTGTTGATGTTACTTCAGTTTAGGCTCTGATAGCATGTAAAAAATGGGAGAAAACGGTTCAAAATCAATTCATTCCATTTTTGGTACATTTTTGGCAACTGCAAGGTCAAAAAATATTAACCTACGGCTACTTCTTCAATCAGGCAAGTGTTTCGCCTTTATCCTAAAGTATTATATATAGTATCTAGAATTGCTTTGTATATCTAAAGCTATCTTTCTGTATTAAATGAACATTTGGTGTAGAACTACTCGTTTGCTCTGAGTCTCTCTATACTTAAATCATTCTAATCTCTCTAACAGCACAATGACACTACTTCTACGAATGCGTTTAAGATGTACATAGTATATAGTAATGGAAGCATGTATCGATATCTCATCCTGCTTATACATGTATGAGACAGCTTAATATAAAAAGTTGCAAAAATTGCTTATGGTCGTTGAGTCAAAACTGGCACCAGTTTTTTACCTAACACGCCTTATACCTACATGGAATTGAAGAGAAGATCACATAAGATGTGTTTTGGGATACCATTTTTTGTTATTAGATATCACGTACCTATTCGAATTGAGATATGAAGTTTAAATAATCGTTTACATAGAACGTGTCAGACTATTTTACGTGATGTGTTGAGAAGGCAAAACATCACCATCTATAGTAAGGAAGCACGACCTACAGCCCAATAGTGTGGCTAGGGCTTGCGAGGTTGTCTACCCGAAGACATCACAAAAACGAAATTTATCACTTACTGGCACTGAACATAACCGTCTAAACGTTGTTCTAGTCTTATGTTATCTACTCTTCAACAAGTCATTTCAAACACTTTCAAATATCGAAAGTTGTAGTCAATTGTTTGATTTATTCTATTCAATTGCCAAGTAGTAGCTCACAACGTTTACGCAGAAGACAGAACACTCTGCTCGTAGTACTCGTACTGCAAACAAGTCTACACCGAGGCTTTTTCAAAAGGTCATAATGATATCGGATTGGTTTGCAAAGTGCTGAATATGCCCCGTGCGATAGTGGATGACAGATCGAGTTCAGATCAAATGTCATATGATCATTTTGTGAAAATTACATGGTAGATATCTTTGTGGTCTGCATTTGAATACGATCATTTTGTTCTGTATTCATTTAATCTGGTTTTACTAGTTTTCCATTTAGGTCGTTATGAAACATGGAGACAACGAATGAGTTTTACAAGTTACACTATATTATTTGCGGTGTTTGTCTTCCGTCAGAACTTCATCTACAATGAAGTTTCACGATTGTCACCTAGGTTTAAAGACAGAATATTACCAATCAATACAATATTTGGCGGTAAACAACACTGAAGTAACTATAAAATTCACGGTAGACTGATTGATATTTTGATTGGATTATTTTTTGATTGGGTGTTTTGATTGAAGAGGTTTACTAGTCTTCCAAAGGTCAACTATCAGGAGCGATAGACGCATATGATAGCCTTTCGATTACCAAGTCATATACTGTTATTAATCGTATACATTGAGTACGGAATGGATAAAAGTGTTTAAAAGAATTTGAGAATTATCAAGTTCATTGTTATTGGATCGTTTGTTTTGAATTCCGGTTTGGAAGCAGTGAGAGGATTTTCCAATCAAGACGTGTCGATATGGAGATGGAATAAAGAAAGTGCCACGTATGTATGATCGATAAGTCCTCCACGATGTTTTTAAAGAACAGTTACAGAAAATATTTTTGGAATTTGCTACCCAATAACTATAGTATTATTATCAATTTTTATTGAAATCCGCTTGCTTTTGAAGCAGATTTGAGAAGCATGAAAATAATTCATCTTCCAAAGTTTTTTAGAAATATATTTTTCATCAGTTGAAGGATTGACATCAGCTTGATTTCAGTATGCCTGTAATAAAAAACTAGACAACAGTCGTTTTTTGGACAAAGCTTACATTAAAGGGTAGATGCTAAAAATCATCTTTGCTCACCTTTGATCACTATTTCAAGAAAAACCACAAACAATAGGCTATCGCATTTCAGTCCATTTGAATCAACGTATTTTTATTTCATTTTTTTATATGGTCGCGTGAAATGTAACTCGTGTAAATTACGAGTGATGTTCAATATCTCGGCCAATTTCATTATGTCACTTTATACTTCGAAATGTTCGGAAACGATTGAGAGATCAGTCATTTCAAGCACTTGCAAATAGACAATGAAGTTTTACGATTGTCACCTAGGTTTAATGATAGAAAATTACAAATCAATACAATATTTGGCGGTAAACAACTCTGAAGTGAGTATAAAATGCACAATATTGATCGATTGATATTTTGATTGAATTATTTTTTGATTGGGTGTTTTGATTGAAGAGGTTTACTAGTGTTCCATGGCTGCAACTGTCAGGTGCCGATAGACGCATACCTGTATGATAGCCATTCGATTACCAATTCATATACTGTTATTAATCGTATACGTTGAGTACTGAATGGATAAAGTTTTTAAGGGAATTTGAGAATTATCAAATTTATTGTTTTTTCGCGTTAGTTTTGCATTTTCCGTTTCAGAAGCAGTGAGAGGATTTTACAATTAAGATGTGGAGATGGAATAAGTGTCACGTATGTTTTGCGACTTGTGCATGATCGATAAGTCCTCTTTGATGTGTTTGAAGAACAGTTACAGAATATATTTTTGGAATTTGGAAGCATCCCCTAATGTTTTGCTGCCCAATAACTATAATATTATTATCAAGTTCTATCGAAATCTGTTTGCTTTTGGAGATGATTTGAGAAGTTTGAAAATAATCCGTCTTCAACAGCTTTTTAGCAATATGTATTTGCATAGTTTAAGGATTGATATCAGTTTGGTATCAGTATGTTTGTAATAAAGCTACACAAAATCGTTTTTTGTAAAAAGCGTACCTTAAGGGGTAAGCGCCAAAATTATCTTTGGTCATCCTTGACCTTGATTCCAAGAAAAACCACAAACAATAATGCATGTATTTTTATTTCATTTTTTTATATGGTCGCGTAAATTGTAACCTATGTAGATAACGAATTCAATATTTTCTGCCAATTTTATTAAGTCACTTTTGGCCGATTTCACCAACATTTCCTAAATTAAAACCTAACTAAGAATTACTTAGCGGTAGGAATTTCCTAAATACAATCTTTGGTTTCACCAGGCTAGGTAATTCTTAGTTATGAAGTTCCTAGTTAAGACACAGTGTTTAGAAAGTTTTTGTTGTCAGGTTGCAATACTTCATAAAAATCGATTCGATATTTCATAAGTGACAAGTGACAATTATTGTCATTCATGACAGCTGTCTGCTTGGATGCTTGAATGCTATTTGGTGGTTTGGTTAAAATGGATATAATTGTGCAAAAAAGAAAGCGCTCAGCTAATTTCAATAGCGATGATAAAATAATGCTATTGTCTTTAATTGGAAACAATAGCATTATTTTAAACAAAAAAACCGATGGTTCTACAAACCAGATGAAGGAGGAGGCCTGGCTGAAAATTGGGCAACAATTTAATTCACGTGCAGGGGAGAGAAGGTAGATATTTGTCTATTATATATTTATTAGTATTCATTACCACGTTAAATTGGTTTTTGCAGGGAGGTAGAAACTTACCGGGCCAAAGAACGCATTAGCGTTTCGCAAACTGGAGGTGGGCCTTCTGAAGTAAAAGCAGACCCCATACTGGAAAAAGTATTAGATATTTTGGGTCGTGCTGGTAGGGGTTTGGAAAATATCAATGATTGCGATATTGAAGAAGGCAAAGAAAATATGGTACCAGAAAATGCTTCATTGGGTATGTTATAATATATATATGTAATGAAATTCAATGCTAATAGAAAATGATATATTTCAGATTTACAAGATAACATTGTTGTTGAGGAAGAAGAGGAACAGGAGCATCAGATTCAGCCTCAAATAATAGTATGCATAATCATCATGTTGCTTTGGATGATTTTTAATAGATTTTTTTCAAGGATAAGACGCCTGTTCACCAAAGAAGACGACCACTAATTTCAATTGAAAGAGGGAGCTCCTTGAATGAAGCACGGTGCTTAACAGAAAGGAAAAAACAAGAACTAATAGATGCAGAAATGAGAAGGGAAATGGAACTTCACGAGCTCAAAAAAAGAAAACTAGAAAAATATATTGAAATAAGGGATCTTATAATTAAAAAAATTAAAGGTGAGGAAGTTCTTAATTTTTTATTGAAAATGTCTAGCTACAAGTATATCTCGACTTAAATTATTTTGTCCATTTTGAATATTTCTTTCCATTTGGCCATTTTGTATATCATTTTCAATATTCTCTACTTCTACTGGTGGGACATCTTCATTTTTATCTATGCAAATGTTGTGTAATACAGAGCATGCCAATATTACATTTATAGAATTTTCTAATTTTAATCTTAATCCGGTAGCCAATACAGGAAATCTTCGTTTTAGCACTCCATATTGTCGTTCCACTGTATTTCTTGTTGCAATATGTGCCCTATTATAATTTTGCTGGCCGATAGTTTGTGGGCTTAAAAAGGGTGTCATCAGATAATTCTAAAAATATTTAAATATGTATAAATAACGTTATCCAAAGCAAATGTATACAAAGCATGAAATATATATGTTATTCTTGTTTCAGATGGAGAACCTCTAAACGATTTGATCACACTTATGCAAATGGGAAATTGAAGTAAAATGAATAGATATAAAATGGAATTGTTTTGCAATAAATTTTCAAATAAATTAATAGTTGTTTCTTTTATTATTTTTTAACTTACTAAAGATTGTGTGACTAAGATATTGTTTATTATGTATATCATATATCTTACTTTTAAAGGATATCCATTATCTCCCAAAAGTAATCCTGCAGTATGCACTCCTGTCTCAAATTGATAGCATAGTCCGCTATTTTGAAAAATAGCAGAATCATGTGTAGATCCTGGCCAACGACACACAATGTTTAATATCTTTAATTTTGCATCAGAGACAGTTTGTACATTCAATGAAAAATAACCTTTTCTATTTCTGAACACTTCTGCATCATCTCCACCTGAATGTAAATGTTCATAAATAATATTGTGTTGGTATTAGGTCATTAATTTACCTGGTGACTGTATCTTTATGTGTGTACAATCAATTGATCCTAGAACATTTGGAAATCCGGCAATTAAAAAAAAGTCATGTTTTACTTTATTTCTCTCTTCATTTGTGGTGGGAAATTTTACAAATCTTTGCAGCAATGATGCCAAAGCATGAGAAACTTTACAATCCTGCAACTACTGCTACTACTAACACCACCATAATCGGCAACAGATGTTAAGTGGCATCCTGTTGCATAGAATCGCAACGCAATTAAAAGTTGGTTTATGGGTGCAATTGCAGCATTTCTGTAAAAACGAAATATTATCAATTTAATTTCAAATATTAGGTACCTTTACACTGTTATACATACCTGTAATCTGCATATGCCAGCTGATGTTCAATTTGATCTAAGACGAACAGTGCAGTGTTTTTATTCATGCGAAATCTACGGAAAAAATCCATTTCGTCGTACTGCTCGAAATAATCGGTACGATCTCTCAGAACACGAGGACGTCGTATATGTTCATCATCATCGTCATAATGGTCCAAATCTTCGATAAATTCAATCACTTCCATATAGCTGCTATATTCGCTAGGAATATAACGTCACTTATGACAAATGTCAAACGGGCTAAGAACTTCCTAACCGGCTTAGAACGCTGTTTAACCAATACCTATCTTAGGTAATACTTATCTCACTTTAGGAAATACTTAGCAACTGGTGAAACCGAAAATGGATTTGGGCAGTTCTTAACTTGAATTAAGAAACTCCTAAATTTTAAGACACGTTGGTGAAATCGGCCATTTTTATGTTTCGAAATGTTGGGAAGCGATTGAGATATAATTAATGTTGATTATATCTCCTGATGTAGATTACTGAATATTTCAATAATCAGCATAATAATGGAAAACGGAAAACGGACTTTGATATAAACAGGAGGAAAACGCATTCAACCAATATATGCAAATTACTCCTTTTCAAAATGGTTCAGTCATCGGTTACCATCATTAATTTCAGTTCGTTAGTTTGTGAACAGCCCACTAAGTGCCTGTTTCAAAGTATTTGTAAAAAAGCTAGAAACGTGTGCTGGATATTTTGTGATGTCACCTTGCATATTATATCCTTCGGCGATTCGCGCCTCGAGTTGTAGAAGTGCTCGTCCCATAATCGATTACTTCTCAAACAGCTATGTAATGTACTATTATGACATTTCAACGTCAACCCGTCGTTACTGGAAATCCATTTAGATGGTAATGAAAAATCGTTTGATTGGTAATACTACTAGAAGGTACTTGCTTGTGTATTAGCATACACGTGTACCTATGCTGTTGATACCTTGAATTAAACGGACACTAATATTGAAACAAAAGTAACAAAGAATATTGGATCAGTTGAAATTAGTATGTAGCTTCAGTCTGTTGGCAAATAATTGGAGATCTTATTTGTTGTTGTCTCCAGTGTTGTCATGTAAAACCACATAAATTTAGTTTTATTTACCACGTCTTCGCTACTACTTAAGCTTTAAAACCTTTATCACAACCTTTTCCGTCGTTAGCAATTACTAAACCTAAAGTTACATTAACTATTATTGTCCCTGTAGCTGTAATGGACTCAACACGATTCCACTATGTTTATCACCATTTTGTCCCTGTAACTGATTAGTTTGATCAGTCGTTACTGCCACTTGGATGTCACTACCGTCACTATTGTCATTCCGTTCTATCACTACACTCAGGCAGGTTTCTGATTTATCGGCTGCATCACCACACTGAAAATAATAGATATATCGAGTAAATTATCGAGAAACATAAAGGATTAAATTTGTTTACACTTAAACTAGCTTCAACGTGCCACGTCGCATAAGGTTCACTTTAAGATTTGAAGCCTCCATTATGGTTGGTATGGATTTAGCAGACTACAGAAGAACAACGTGGCAGGTTGTAAGACGGCCTTCTTTTAAAGATTTAACCGTAAAATGGCTTTTCTGAACATCTTTTGAGTAAAAGTCCGACGATTTCTTAATACGCTGACAGTTATCTTGAAACGGCGCTTTTAAAAAATACTACGAGTTCTCTATTTGACAGAGTTGCGCATTATTGCTCACCCTCTCCACATTAGTCATGATAATACCACAGTTGTGATATTTGCTAATAAAATGATGCAAGTAGTATTACTCAACAAAATGCATAGGATAAGCTGTTCTTGGGAAAAACATACTTAGGTCAATGATTTTTCCGTCTATGACTGTTGAATGTTTACTGTGTCTTTAACAAACTTTGGAAACATTCTCTCTTCCACGAGTTAATACTAAAGCGGTAAGGCTATTAGTTTGTATCCAGCCTGTTGAAAACATGGAAATAAAATGTTGACACAATTCAATAGATAAGTATGACAGTTTGTGAATTTTGAGCAAGCTCACAAATAAAGATCGACTGTGGTAAAAGTTGATATTCTTTCATTTTCTAGTTATTGGAGTAAATGATGCTTGTTGGGGCAGTTAATCAGTCACAGAGGTTGTTGTCTGGCAAAAATAAATTAATGACTTTACTTGTACATTTACCTATAGGCCCAATGCAGATGTTATTGATTGGAAACTGGAAATCGGGATACCTTCTAGTATAAGCAACTAAGTTTTGTCAAATTATTTTCCAGTTTGCGTACGTTTGTCCAAGGGAATCAGTATAAATGTTTCCAATAGGTAAAATATAGGACTTAGTCTTAAGTGACACTGTAATAACATATTGAATCTGCAACTTATCCTCAGAATTGGATTTTTAAGTTAATAGAGATTTGCTCTAGAACAGCTGCACCATACATTGGACATTCCGTCCTCTGGCAGAACAGTCAGTATCTCATGCGCATCGTTTATTAAAGGGATGCAAACACAACTTTGCAGATTTAACTTGTTTCGCTACTTTGTGCATCTTGTCTTTTGGAATCATTAAGATGGCTTTTTGGCTCAAGTTTTTTTGACATGGAACAAAAGACAAAAACTGACCATTCGTAAACATTCCCAATAAACGATTTGCTCTATTGATTAATATGATATTTAGTTGTACTTACATCGAGAGATGCACCAGCGCCTGCCCCCTTGGTGTCATCGTCTGGTGCGCCCGCGCTCTCGTCACTACTCGAAATACTTCGGGCGTCATAGAGGTCCATAGGCTGGAGCTCTATGATTGAGTCGGCGCGTTGGATACTGCTCCCACTGGAGGCGGTAGGCAGCTGGATTTCAGGAATCGACATCACAGGAGCCACCAGAATGGGGGCTGGGAGCCTGGTGGATGACATCGGCGTGGTGTCGTCGTACGGCGGAATCTAATATAAATAAATAAATTCACAGAAAAATAAACCAAGTATATTGAATATCTTTATCGTTGCTTGGGCAGGTCGCAATCGGGTTGATCTGTCAACACGATTTGCGAATCCGGAACCAATAATCGGAATAACACGGAAATTGAAGGTAGTTAGGAATTCTGTAACAATGACCATCACTCCCAATGTCCTTGGCTCGGATGACGTTTATAACATGACCTTAACTCTTAACAGGCTATGATTTCACCAACACGACCCTAATATCCAATTACCGAGGCTCTTCGTCATTCAAGAATCTCACAAAGACAATAATCGGTCGTTGAGGCAAAATCCATCAATGCGGACAACAGAAAGCGTGCATGTAGTGCCAATAAAGCTTAATAAAGCTGTATTATTTCGTTATATAAGAAATAAAATAAATAAAATTTCCATAAAACATATAAAACGTTGAAACACGCTCCTTCATACATACTCATCTTTCTTGCAGGATTTCTTCAAGCAATCTGCGTCCGTATGCCATGACACAAAAATGCGGTCAATGGGCGATTTGAGATCCTTAGCAACTGATCCTAATTGATCTATCAGTCCATTGAGTTTGCAAGGGTGTGTAGAGAATCCCAAGGAGAAGTTGGTCTGATAATTAATCAAACAATAAATCTTCAATGTGTTTGTTCCCAATTTGAAAATCTTGCACGTCCAGTACGAGATTCATATTTGTGTCTTCCACAACTGCCGGAAAGTAAGTATCCACTCACAGGCGCGTTTTTACAAGCCTGATGTGATTCCAATATTCCGCGCGATACAGTTCTAATTATATAATGTAATTGCTATTGTTTTATCAATATCACTGACGTTTATCTCAACTGAAGGACGAATTCGTTTTAAGAAATTCTACTTCAAGGTGAAATATCTGCAAAAAATGCATTTTCTCGATATTATTCCATGAGAGTAATGACCTGTTAAGGGTATGTTCCAGCACTCTTCATGTGCTTTTTCATCAGATCAATAACCTGTTACTAACATCAGTAGGGTGTTGGAGCTTTGATCACTAGGAGCGAAGGCATGTGTTACAGATGCTACCTGATGATCAGCTAATCGCGTCAATAGGCATCAAAACATCAAGGAGTCGTGAAAAATTAATTTCTGCCAAATCTAGTTTTCCCAGCTACATCAACACTTTGATTCCAAACATAAGATCCATCTAGCGGCAGAAAATGTTGGAAATCGTTGCCACAGGTAATGTTCACGTGACGTAACATGCCACGGATGTGCTCGTGAAACGTAACTCTATATTCCGTGAGGTTCATGTTGGCGTCGTTCATCTTGTGTATGTAGCTTTTGTAATGTTACTGCTTGTTACATTTCTTCAAACTTTTAGTTGAATGGACTCGAATTACAGCGCTACTGTTGCATTCCACAACAACACAACCCGAAAGCATTTTAAGAGCCCAAATTTTGAATCAGAAGCTTTTTACAATATTGACTAAAATAAATCGATAAATGTCTACAAATACCAATTTTTATTTATAAGCGCTAAAGTAGTTCTCGCCAACTCAAATCTATAGGTTATGTTGTACCTCGTGCTGTCAGCTCCTACTAAATAATCAAATCCAAGCGAATAACTAAAACTTCTGTATTATTTACCCCGGCTATAATGTGGTTTGAGATAACATACGAGTTCATGACGTCAGTTACTCGAATCGCTTGAACGCGTTGGTTTCAACCGAGGTTTTATTACAAGTTGTTTATTTCAGAAAAGTGGGTGTATAATTACTGATTATTTTTATTATTACTTGATAATTGATGCTCTTTCGTCTTCAACAGTGATAGGGAAAGTTTAAAAAAGAAAACATTCATAATATTAATGGGAGAATTTTTTTTTTCAGAAGATATTGTTCAGGTGTTAAATCACCTGAGAAAATCTCTCTTACTTTTGTTAAAGTTTAAAAGATAGGACGCCCAAAATTTTAACTATGGTTTTGTAGCTATGACAACTTTCAAATCTTTGAGCTTTTCCACATGTCAAAGAAAACATTTATTGTTTTGGCAGAAATGACAGGAAAAGGCGATGAAAAAAGTTATAAGCAAAACCGTATACAGGTGGTCTCTATCCAGTCAGTTTATATGGCCATATTTTATCATTCTTGTGGTATATGGCTTCGTTAAGCATAGGAACTAGATCTAAAGTGTCCCCAACAACAGTAATGAGTGTAACTAATAAGGTGCTCTACTTTATGCTAAAACTTGAGTCAGCACATAACTAGTTTCCCAAAAATAAAGCCGAAGTACAACAAAAATATCCAATACCCGCCAAAATTCTAATTTATAACATTTTAAACAATAACCCGAAATATAAAACTACTCCCGAGTTGGGTAAATACCACATTATTACGGTGATAACTATGACATATACCAGTTGATTGATGACGTCACGGACCTTATAACCAAACTGATAACCACACTCGCTTGACGGATCGGCAGAAGTATCATGTAAAAAACCTATAAAACGTCAAAAAGAACCTATAAGATGTCAACTTGCAGACTAGGTAGTTTTTAGGGCGCAAACAGTATTCCACGTTTGCTCACTAGGATCTTTGTGAACGTCCATCTATGGAGGAATCACTCAACTAAACCACGCATTATTGGTTGCATAGTTTTGTGAGGCTGGGTGATCCGGGTCTGTAGTCTCTGGGAAGAAAGTTGGTTGAATAGCAAGATCGCATCTGGATGATTTTGTGTATTGGTCTGCATGTGTATAAAATCAGTGATATTTGCCGTGTAAGGAAATCATTACTGAATATGCTGCCAATGAAGTATATCTATTGGCTGTGCCCAACGGTTTATATGTTGTGCTTTCTGAAGAGAGGTTATGTTCAAAGTCATAAATTACGAAAAACTGAGAAGAATTACGGGAAATCATTACCGCGCCCGCGTTGAGTGTAATTACTGTTAGCATGTGTATGGCTTGTGATTCGACAGTGTACAGTGAATATAATTATTTCTTATCTCTCTCATTTTTGAAATTCATCAAACTTGTATATGTAATTTCCAGAATGGATACGGAAAAGTGGATGCGCAACTAATTTCTAGCTTTGAATCTCAAGTAAGTGTATTTGAGACAAGAACCCAATGTAATTATCATCGAAACATACAACTTACAACTTAGTCCTTCAGTAATGCCACCTCAGAAACAGATTTTACATCAGAGCCAAATATTGATAATGAGCCTCATTAGGTTTAGGCAACACGTACAACTAAGCGCTAAGTTAACATCTTGTAGAATAACCTACATAATGTCAAAAAAATCGGCATAATGCCACTTTTCGAGATACGTGATACCCGTGCCGTAAATACTAATCCGAAATATATATATATATATATATTCATTTGGTTATTCGCTTGAATTTGACTATGGACACACGTAGTTATCTTTACTTGGTGAAATACTCCAATCATATGGTCGACTAACGTCATTCACACAGTTTTACAACACATATACAGGAAGGCTACAGGTCCGCTTTATTCTAAGAAATTCTCTTAGCATTTTGATCTACTTTCCATCCAAAGAATTGCAAATGTCAATTCTGAATAAAAAAACTGAATTCGGAAACCGGACCGTACCGGTTGGCCTTAGAGAGAAACAACTTGAGCTGTCCATCTGGGCTTGAGCTCACAAACGCATTTTTTAATTCAATAAAATGCTGACCTTTGTGGTTTCGTGGAAGTCCTTAGCGTCAGTAGTACTAGTACTAGGCAACGAATGGTTAGGCGGCACTATAGACACTTTCTTTTTACTTTTATTTAACAAGGAAGTCCTTTCCATTTTAACAAAATCCGTATCCCTGGGTTCCCGGAAATTCGATGTCAAGGGATATCTGAAAAATAAGGAAAATTGATTAGAATATGGTTTGAAACATTCAGTTTTGAATGAGTTAAGGTACGCCAATGCCAAATGTAGAGACTACGCCAACTGGCAGTGACCTAGCATGGAGAGTGATACCTGCCATAGCGTAAACATCAATTAAATCATTTATTTCTATTAATAGAGGCATATAGGATCAAATCGAGTTTAGTTAAACAACAGCGCGGAGGTTTGAAAAGTTCTCCAGGCAAGTGTCACGCACCAACTCGAAACAATATTTCAGAAAAGATCGTAATAATTTGCATCTGCCTTAGGGTCGTATCGACAGTCGTTCCCACAATTGCAGGACGCCTGTATGGCCTCCTTGATATTCATAGTTTTCCCTCTCCTTCAGAAAGGCTGCGATATTCCTAGATTTCTACGGTTCCGTGTCAGCGCCAGTGCTCTCGTTTTGTCAGGCTATGTTTTTGAATTGTAGCAAATTTCAAGCTATAAAACAGATGATATAAATCAAAAGCTTGAACAATTTGATGCAAATAGATATTTGTAACACAACCTCAGAATAGAGCGCTGACACGGAAAAGTAGAAAGCTATGATAATCAACGAGGCCATAAAGGCGTCCTACAATTGTAGGAACGACGGCACTTAAGATAGATCTGCCGGGTGGTACCTTCCCGTTCGACGGTTCGAGATCATCCACCACCTACGGACAATCACAACATCCATAGCCAAAAGGAAAATTCTCCTAAAACTGGTAAAAAGGTAAAAGTTTGCACACTTTAGAATGAACAACGATAGCTTCAGAATTGAATTCACAATCTCGCTGCTAGGTGAAAATGTGGCTTTTTTATGTTCAAGAGCTGATAAAGACATTCATTTTAATTCATGCAAGGGTTGGCTACCAGTGTAGACCAAAGTACCCATCTTGTTGGGCCTTCCAAGAAATGCCAATCAAACGCTCTCGTTGCGTGAATTAGATCTGGATCTAAAATCATCTAAGGGGTCCAACAGGCTTAAAAGTTATGATTTGCATCATAAATTACTCAAACGAATTGTCACCGAAAGCCGTGCGAGTCTTTGCCTTCGTTGTGTCCCAGACTACCCTCAAAGTTTAGGAAACATTCTTCTTGAAGATGTATTTTGCAAAGTGCACCAGTGCACAGTGACGACCTGATCAAGTCGTTTTTAACATTTCTTTAGAAGTATCTGACTGACCTGCGCTCGGTAACTTCCACAGTATTGGGGTGTGCTGCATATCACGATCACAAGGAAGCACAACAGTATGTTCTCGACAATTTAGTCTCACGGCACTTATTCAATTTGAAATCATTAATGGAGTGAATGGAGTGAAAGTGAATAGGGTGTTTCACAACTTATCCGACAAATTTTAACTACATATGCACTGTTACGAAAGAACTTGATTTATCAAAAAAAAAAATGTAAAAGTCCTACAGAAGTCGAGATAATAAAATAATACAGTTTAACAGTTCACTTACTTACAAAAGCTGTTCAAAATTGTTTCGATTGACTGCAATGCAAGCTTGGACGCGTCTAATCCAATTTCAGCGTACTAATTCAAATACACCTTCTTCCTGCTGTGCCTGAAGGATCAAATTATCGGCAGCCATTATGATTCGGTTAGGCAATTCTTCAATATTCTGAACTGGACTATGGTGCACCTCGTGTTTCAAGTATCCAAAAGAAGCCGAGAGGATTTAGATCGGAAGACCGTGGAGGCCATGCAATTGATCCACCTTTTCCGATCCAGCGTATCTGGTATACCTGATTCAAAAAATCACGAACTTCTAAACGAAAATGGGGAGGTGCCTCATCGTGCAGAAACCACAGCCGTGCTCGGACCGCCAACGGCACAATTAGACGTCCATCGACCTGCCCACACGTTTAAAGAAAAACGATGTTGGAAGTGTGTCTGGACCACTGCGTGAGGTTTCTCAAAGGACCAAAACGTATGTATTATGAAGAATAGCTGTAAAAATAGCTTCATCGTTGGCCAAACCATCAGCTGTAAAACGAGCATTACTTATTCTGAGGGCTAGTCTGTAGATAGCAACGCCTGGACTCTCTGGACGTGATAAGGGTACAGTTGGGCCTCATGTTACATGCGCCACGCTGTTGCATGTGAGACTTTTGAGATGTGTTGGGCTAACTGCCTTGTGCTTATTCCCGGATGTTCTTCCCCAATATCCAAAATTTTTTCTTCAGCATTTAAAACACTTTGTGGGCGAACCCGACCCCCATCCACTCCACGTCTGGGGCGAAAATCTCCACTAGCACGTGCACGTAAAACAATTGAACTAAATGTTTCGTGATATGGTATGTGCCCATTCGGAAATCGGTGTGCATACAAACGAGAAGCCGCTCTGCTTCTCCGTACGCTAAAATAATGTCCACTAACTCCTCATTAGTGGTACACATGCGCCATTTTGATTAATACATAACTAAAAACATAAACTTTCTTATTTAACTTCACAACAATCGACCGTTCTTCATTCAGATCATCCACGATAGAGATTAAACCTTATTTAGACGTTCTTATCAGTATGAAAAAACAAAAAATTGTGCTGTTTACACCCCCCCGGATATTTCGCTTGAGGACTTTGAAATATTCTTTGACAATTTTTCTCTTTTCAATTCAAGTCATAACAGCTCGACTATAATTGTTGGTGATTTCAACATCCCTATGTATGGCTATGATGATAACGACTCGAAATGTATAATAGTAAAGAGCTTCGCAGAAATGTTTGAGTTCCAACAATATAACATTATACCAAATTAAAACAATAGATACTAAGACCTCGTTTTCAGTAATAGTGAATGTCGAATTGACAGAAGTGATACACCACTTGTATATGAAGACAGACATCATCCTGCATTACAATCCACTATTAGCACTAGAATTACCAGAACCATTAACTTTAGTCCCAACAACGCTGAAACTGTTTTCAATTTCTGCAAAGCAAACTTTGTCCTTATGTACGAAATAATGTTGACTATTGATTGGAGTGATATTTATCAGTGCACGGATCCTAATGCAGCGACTGAAATGTTGCAACAAACTTTGTATAGAATATTCGACCGAACTGTAGCCAAAAAAATTATTCCGACCCGTAGGTTCTCACCATGGTATTCCTTAGACACAATAAATAAAATAAAAAGAAGGAGTATATAAAAACTACAAAAGATATGGAGATGAAGCACCTCGTACAAGATTTGATTAAGAAGGACGATAAAAACTCAAGCTGACAACGAATATCGTAATTTTATTTTGGCAGCAGAAAACAATATTTTATCAGATCCTTCTCAGTTTTGGAATTTTATCCACAGTAAAACAGGAATATCCAGTTTACCTGGTATCATGAAATATAATGAAACTACATTAACAAAACCCCAAGAGATTGTTGACTCATTTAAACAGTATTTTTCGACAGTTTATACACCTCCTGATCAAACCTTAGTGAAAATGTAATCCTGGATTATGAAAACTCCTTGTTTATAGATTTACCTCAAATATGTGAAGCTAATGTTCTTAAAGCGGCGAAAAAGTTAAAAAATAAGTTAATTATAGGCCCTGATCAAATACCCAGCTTCTTAGTGAAGGATTGCATACATACGCTACTCAGACCATTAATACATCTGTTCAACATTATTTTGAAGACGGGCATCTTTCCAGACAACTGGAAGATATCCAGAGATACCCCGGTGCTGAAGAAGAGTGATAGAGCTTTAATTAATTTTATTTTTATATATATATATTTTTATTTTAATTATCCAGCTTTTCAAAGCTATTTGAAATTATTGTTTATGAAGTGATTTATATTCACACCAAAAACCTAATTGTAGCAGAACAGCATGGCTTCCAAGAGCGGTTAGAGTTATTCTTTTTTTTAATATTGTGGCTTTTTGATCTAGCTGTATTATTAATTTGATTGTGTTTTTTTTATATACTAGGATTATGTGTTGCTCTTGTTTTCTTTTTGAACTATTTCCTGTAATTGGGTGATTGTACCCGTTGGAAATAAAGATCCACCTATCTATCTATCTATCTATGAAAAAACAAAAAAATCTCGGTATTTTGCTTTCGTCAGTTGTTTGGTACAATATTTTCTACAATAAATTATTAATGCGTGTTCTAATATCTCGACGATGAGCGCAAAATCCAGATATTTATTTTTCAATTTATTATTGAAACTCACGTTTATAACTTAATTTCTGTAGGACTTTAATTACATTTTTTTGAGAAATCAACTTCTTTCGTAACAGAGCATATGTGGTCAAAATTTATCGGAAACGTTGTTAAACACCCTGAATAAACACATTAAGCAGGTGCCAGTATCTGAGTAAAAAAGCAACAACAATAATGAGGTATCGTTACTGTGTAACGGATAACGGGATCTGATACTTAAGGGAGGCGTAGGTATCATTTAGATTGAATGTAGATTATTGAAGTATTTATTGTATATTATGCGGACGAGTATGACGCAGGACGAACACTATACTAACCTACTGGAGCTGTGTGGACACACGTCCTTCTTCAGTCTCGTAGCTTGCTTTTTCCTTTGGCAACACTTGCTACTGGGTATTGCACAAAGCAGTACCCTGATTAAACAGCAGACAAGTCCGCAGGCAATAAGTGTGGGTCCGATAAGCCTCAGCTCCAGGGTTTTGAAGCCTTTCTCCCCGGTGCCCACGAAAAAGATGACGCTACCGATGGCCGTGGCTCCCAGGCCAACATAGAGGAGGGCATTGGCTGCCGCACTCTGGTGATATGCTCCCAAACCAAATTCCGAGGATGACACTGAACCAGGGCCGTATGTGCAGTCGTGGATCTACAAATTAAGAACATAAGATAGAATTGCGTCATATAACATACAGGGTGATTCACAAACCGTGACCAAAAAACAAACATCATACACAGGACCGTATTTTAAGTGGGGTCTTCTATGTAACATTTTTTCCTTGAGGGCTTCATTAAAAAGATACGGGGTGTTGAAGTTTAAAAAAAAACATTTTTTTTTTAATATCTTTGAATCGGTCAACTGGAATGAACCAAAATTTGGTATGTGGTATATATAGTATTGTCCACATTCAAAAGTCTTCACTCAAAATTAATGTGCAGCAGTGCCAAGAGATACAGAGGCTTGGTGGCATTACTTTTCCAAATAAAAATAGTACGCTACTGTTTTTTTTTTCGAAAGGCGCTATTTTTCAAATTATACCATCAATTTGCTACAAATTATTACTCTTGTGTTATTTCCTAGAGTGCACTGTCATCGTAAAAATAAAAACAAAACAAATTAGATCATTCATAAAGAGCCGAGGTACAATTAGTTTCAAAATAAAATAGGAGGCTTCGATACCAACTTGACGTTTCTTGGGAGATAGTTTGTCAAAGTTATGTGTTGTACGGCTGTTATCGTTACTACTACCATTTTTTTTGTAAAAGTCAAAAGTTTCTTTTTTCCATTTTTGAGTGTTGTAAAATGGACTTTAGCAAAGATGAGTACGACGATATTATTTTTGTTTTCGGGTTCTGTAATGGAAAGGCTTTAGCGGCTTCCCGGGAGTACCAACGTAGATTTTCCAATAGACCCCAACCTGCCCCAGAGCTACATCCATTAATTATCTAATTTGTTTTTTTTTATTTTTACGAAAACAATGCACCATAGGAAATAAACACAAGAGTAATTATTTGTAGCAAACTGAAGGAAAAATACGGAAAATTGCGCGTTTTGAAAAAAAAAACTGGCGTACTATTTTTATTTGAAAAAATAGTGCCACTAATCCCTTGTCACTCCCTCACTGGTGCACGTTAATTTTAAGTAAAGACCTCTGAATGTGGACAATACTTAGGTAGATCCACATAACAAATCTTACTTCATTCCAGTTGAGGGTTTTGAAGATATTAAAAAAATATTTTTACACTTCAACCCGCCGTATCTTTTTAATGAACTCCTCTAGGAAAAGATGTTGACCCCCTTAAAATGCAGCCCTGTGTATGATGTTTCATTTTTGGTCACGAACTGTGAATCACCCTGTGTACATTTCATAAATACTTTGATGCGGGAGGGTGTCCGAAAATCATTGGCCAGCTTTTAAAGAGAATAACTTGTCTGTAGTTATATGTAATACGAAATTTGGCCCAAATTCCGCGTTTTACATTTTTGCAGGCATTGGTGTATCGAACAACACTTGAGCCAGAATTTTACTAACATCAGACCTAGGAAGCGGATGTTAATCTTTATGAGCTTCCTGTATTATTTATCGCGGAACCAGTGCATTGGTGCTCTTGGAGGTGCAATTTTTCAGGAAATTTTTTGGGTGCCCGGTGACGCATGGTGCCCTTCTATCATTTTGTAGCATTTTCTTAACTATGTCACCAAAGACGCAGTAGAGGAACTGCCCAGCCCTATATGTGCTCTTAAGCAACCTTTCCAATTTAAGAATGCTATTTTTGCACGCTTCACTTCCGTTCATTACGTTTCGAAAATAATTGATATGAAAAATCAAGAAAAATGCTAATTTGAAGAGAACATTCTTGCATGCGTTCACAAATCCATTTGACAAACACCAAAATATCAGAAAAAGCCTCGAAAATTGACAAAACTACCCCAAAGTCTCTATCGGTTGTTTTATTTCTCTCTTAAATAAATTTTACAACTGACAGATGATTGCCGACGATTTAACTTGCACTTCTTTGCAATACCCGTATCCAAAATGGTGAGCGCCCGTATTTGTGACTGGAACTGTTTTTTAACACTCATATTGCATAAACCTTCTGTGACGCATTTTCCTTTTGTTCAATATCAAGCTTACGATTTAGTTTATGGAATTGCAATTCTCCACAGTATCGGAATATCTAGGCTGATTGATGTGCCTAATTTTGTAGCATCTTTTTATCCGTCTACTCCACCTGTTGTGTCCGGACGTATGAATTATGACCCAATTTAGGCATTTATACGTAGCCTTCTATGATGTGTATGTAAGGGATATTGGAGCATACGTTAACTAACTACTTATATGAGGGGGCAATAAAGCGAGGTATATTCATGTATCCAACCCATAAAACAGATGATTGATCCATTGCTCAGTGCTCATCGAGCTGGAAAATTAGGTCATGATGCTGGAAAGTAATTTATCAAATATGTTTCCCGTTAAGGTTGATATGTTTGTATAATGACATGATACCGTTTAGCAGCTAACAGATTATACGAGGGGGTACCAAAAAAAAACAGGAATTTTATTTTCAACTTTTTCACAAAGTAACCTTATCTCCTTCAAAATACTATCCACTGCAACTGATACACTTGTCCCGACGGTGCTTCCACTGCTCGCAACATTTTTTGATGTCTTCCTTAGAAATGTCTGACAGCTTCTCTCTTTTTTTTGACGTCTTCAATGTCGTCGAAGCGGCGTCCTTTCATGCCCCTGTTCATCCGTGGAAATAAGAAAAAATCGCACCGAGCCAGGTCGGCGAATAAGGTGCATTATCGTGGTGGAAGAACCAGTCTGCTGACTGCCACAAATCGGGTCTTTTTTGCCGAACACTGTTTCGCAATCCTCTTAAAACCTCCAAATAAAAGGTCTGATTGACAGTGTGACCTAGGGGGAACAAACTTGTCGATTCGGGCAGCTGATGGACGTCCAGAGCGAGGTCTGTCATCAATCGACATGTCGCTATTTTTAAACACCTGAGTTTTTCCCATAGCATCATCTTTGTAAGCTATTTTCAACATTAAAACAGTTTCAGCAGCATTTTTACCAATTAGAAAGCAAAACTACACAGCTGCACGTTGCTCACGGAAGCTTGCCATCGTAAAAAACGAAATAGCTCTAGCTAAAATAATGACTACAGAGGAACGAAGCAAGCCAGATTGACCACTCAGGTGGCACTGAACTGGTAATGTGTTGCGCTGTACGCCTCTAGGGGGCAGAAACGTGTACTACACAAGCTCCGCCCACTGCAATGCTATTCCGGTTATTTTTGGATACCTCCTCGTACATAGATTATACATATATTGTACTACTATTATTATGTGTCTTACGTAGAACTGCAGCGATCGATTACTCGAAAGGATAGTTTTATATAAGGTTATCTACGGTTACAACTTAGAAGTTCAGGAAATATTTGCAAATATTCATTTTCTATTAATCCATACGGCTTTTTCATGATCAGTTCAGTATGGTTGGCTCCTGCGAGTTATTAAAGCTGTGAGAGATTCGAGGCCACGAATTGGTATTTTTTTTTAATACATGCACCTCATATGATAAATCCATACATAATGACATATTCTCCATTATCTGACGAACCATGGCCAACCATACACCCTATTTCACGAGTATCCAGCTCTATAACAGCTAGTTATCAAGTAATATTTCAAAATTCTCCATATTGGACCAGGACAGATGATTCTGACGGATCCGTCAACGTCAGGTAGCCAGAGCTGTATTTTGTTTTGGTTTTTCATACTCTACAGATTCATTTTGTACTTGCTAACAGTTCTTTTATTTAGAAAGGTTCATTTGCATGCAAAAAACAAAACGCTACAAATAATTTTTACCAGATTTACACGCGATTCACTATTGCCAACGTCGCAGAGTAACACAAAGATGTAACTTGCTGATCAACTTTCACCTCAGTAGACCTCAAGGCGTGATGGATACTCGTGGAATCGTGTGTACTAATTTGCGGGAAGGTAACCTTAAACAAAACTATCCTTATTTTTGGTGCTTAACCTGAGGAGATTATAAAAATGGGTGGGCTCCTTTTGGAAAAATAAAATTTCTACAATAATTTAATTTTTATCCATTTCTTTATCGGCTATCAAAATATCGTGTGAAATCTATTGAAATAGACTATAAGAAACCAGTTACGAATCGTTCGGCACAGACAAAACTATACGAAATATTTTTAAAAAAATCTAATAATATACAGACTGTATACTACGGGAAGTGTCGCAGTTTTAAAAATATTTTAGCCGAATTTCTTACTCCACTGATACCATAGCTCCAACTTTTTATAACTATACAAAGTCAAGTTTTTGAGTAATCGATGTCTAAGCGGGACACCCTGTATTATATATAGAATATTTCTTGGCAAGTGGGTTAAGCATCAGTTGACAATTGATGATGGCAAAAAATATACTTATCAAACATGAATCCTTTTATTGAAAAATAAATTTCTGACCAAATCCGTCGTTTGCTACATAATAATAATTTTGGTGAGCAAACAGTGGAAATTGAATTTGCACAAATTGAAAATGCACAGTCAATATTGCAAATATTTCGGCAAAGCGTTACTCTTAAGTGATCAAAAACTGGTTCAAATCAAATTCGCTTTAGCGTTGGTAGTTGCGATGTACGTACATTCCACTGAAGGTGAAACATCAAACATGTTGATAAAACCCTGTATAATGCAAGTAGTCATTGATTTACATATTCAGGATTGTTCATATCTACAAGAATGGTTGACAGAGCTGTACCCTCTACCATTCAACAAGATGCTAAGCAATATGAAATGCCCAAGCTGGGAAAGCTGCGTACTTGAAGTAGATTTAAGTTGGTTTATTAGCATTATTACCGTCTATGAAAGGAAGCTATTATTTGGATATCCATAAAATTACTTGAACTGCCTCTAAGATTTACTGAAATGAACGACTTAGTCTGACCTATATAATTCTGAAAGCATGGAACATAAAGCGATAAATAACAATGTTTACTCTTAGAACCTCAGCTGTACCTTGTTAACTGATTTATGTACTGACTCATTATATGATAAAGAAGAAAACTAAGTGCCAACAGTAATTAAACAACTTCAGAGTAATGAGGC